AGAGAGAGAGAGAGAGAGAGAGAGAGAGAGAGAGAGAGAGAGAGAGACACTATGAGGAAGAGTGGGGCATGAAGATGGGAAGAAAAGGGAAGTCTTTGTGTGTGTGTGTGTCTGCGCACACATGTGCCTCTATGTGTGCGTGTGCGCACTCTCACTAAGGAACTAAACCCAAGACCTCGGCCTAACGAGTGGCACCGCAGCCTTGGAAGGATGTTTTTCAACAGTCACAGTGGTCTTGCTTGTCCTTTGCCCAAACTAAACCAACATTGCTGTGCCCTGCAGCTCTGAGTGGGACCGGCACACATGGCCTCACACCTTCCCTCCTGAAGTCCCCATGTCCCTTCCCACCCTGAGCAGTGTCCACCAACCCCTTCCAACCCTCAGGAAAGGCTCAACAAGCCCCCCAACCAACTCCTGACCCCTAGGGTTCTCCCTACTCCTGATGGCCCCTCCTGCTTGCTCCGTCCCTCGCTCATGTAACCCTGCTGTCCTCCCTGCAGCCCATGACAGACCTGGACACAAAGATCCAAGAAAAGGCTATGAAGGTGGACATGGACATCTGCCGCCGAATCGATATCACGGCCAAGCTGTGCGATGTCGCACAGCAGCGGAACTCGGAAGACGTGTCCAAGATCTTCCAGGTGACCAGGGCCGGCCCCGCTCACCTGACTCCACCCCAAACCTCTTAGAGCACCCTGAGCTCCACCACACCCTGTCAGCTCCTCTTTCCCTCCACATCTCCATCACCCCGATCCTGAGAGTCACACGACTTGGGGATTTGTAGTTATAGCTAAGGAGACTGAGGCCTGGGAGGACAGGCCGAGAAAGGACATGGTAGACCTCCTGGCCCTCCAGGACGTGTTCTCAGGCCCACTCCGAGCCCTTGCTTCTCATGCAGCCTCTTTCTCTGAGATTCCACATCGTTCTCACGGCGAGAGCCCTGACAGTTGGGCACCAGTGGGCAGTTCTGGAGAGGGACAGGGTCCTGTTAATGGAGGGTGCGTGTCATCTCAGAAGTCTTGGGTCACAGTTTGGCTTGTGCTTTAGCCCAGGGCAGTGCAGTGTGTTGTTGCTTTCTGTGTGTGACTCTGGCCACAGTTGGGGGAGGTCAGGGCCTCCCCAGGGCTTTCCCCATCTCATGCTTTCCTGCTGGGGACTGACCTGTCGAGGGAGCTACACAGCCCTCATCTGCACGGGTCTTTTCTGCTTGGAGTGGAGCTTGGTGAACCCCTCCATGCCTCTGCACGTGAGAAGGTTCTGGAAGCATGCAGCTCTTTTGACCTTTGTCAGGATTTCTTGGTCTCTCGGGCTGGCTTTGAGACATCTCAGGTGATGGTGCCATACCTGACCTATCCTTGTTCCAAATCATGGGGCTGCTTTTCTGGTGATGGGCGAGCTGGGCTGGCCCAGTCACCAGGCAGGACTTGGTCCCTGTGTCTGTGTCCTCCACCTGCATGCCTGACACCTCACGCTTCCTGCTAATGCTGCCTGCTTCGTAGAGGACCTATGCAACTCCCCGCGGGGGTGGCTGGTCCCAGCCATACTCCATCCACTCCTCGGGACGGACGGCGGTTCCCTCCCACACTTACCCCCACCCTTCACCCTGGCCAAGCACCCCCGTTACCTTGGTCTCTTCCTTCCCCGTCCAGGTGGTCCCTAAGAAGAAGGATCGTAAGGTGGCTTCGGATGATGACGTCTCCGAGCAGGACGGGGAGGTGAACCGGTTCTCAGACGAGGAGGTCGGCTCCATGAACATCACTGATGAGATGAAGCGCATGTTTAACCAGCTGTGAGTACCCAGGTTGCCCAGCCCAGGGACACGTCAGTGGCTGGGCTGAGATGAGTCATGTGTTCTGAAAGAGTGTGTATGTGTGTGTGTGGGGGGGGGGGGGGGCTGGTGAGATGGCTCAGTGGTTAGGAGCACTGACTGCTCTTCTAGAGGTCATGAGTTCAAATCCCAGCAACCACATGGCAGCTCACAACCATCTACAATGAGATCTGATGCCCTCATATGGGTGTCTGAAGACAGCGACAGTGTACTTACATATAATAAATAAATAACTAAATCTTTAAAAAAAAAAAAGAGTGTGTGTGTGTGTGTGTGTGTGTGTGCTAGTGATCAGTCATGCATGTCATTTCCCAGGCACTATTCACCTTGTTTCTTGGAGTCAGGGTATCTTGAGGAATCAGGGTGTCAGGTTTAGGGCTTGCTGGTTAGGTTAGGTTGGCTGACCATCCAGCCCCAGGGGTCTGCCTGTATTCCTCCCCAGTGTTGGGATTACAAGTGTACACCACCAGACGAGGCTGGCCTTGAACTCACAGACCCACCTGCCTCTGCCTCCTGAGTGCTGGGGTTAAAGGCGTGTGCCACCACCACCTGGCTCACCTGGCCAGTGTGTGTGCTGGGGATTGAACTCCTTGCAAGGCAAGCATTTTGCTCACTAAACTGTATTTCCAGCCCCTAGATTCTTTTTTTTTAATGTATTTGTTTATTTTAAAATTTTATATGTATTTTTTGTTGTTGTATGAATGTTTTGCCGGCATGTATGTCCATTTGCCATGTGTGTATCTGCTTTCTGTGGAGGTCAAAAGAAGACATCAGACCCCCTGGAACGAGTTACAGAAGACTATGAGCCACTGCGTGGGTGCTGGGACTCAAACCTAGGTCTTCTGCAAGAGCAGCCAGTGCTCTTCATTGCCGAGCCATCCAGCCCCTGTTTTATTATTTTTTTAATTTTATGTGTGTGGGTGTTTTGCCTGCATGTTTGTCTGTGGACCATGTGTGTTCCTGGTGCCTGTGGAAGGCAGAAGAGGGCATTCGATCCCCAGGGACTGCAGTTAGAGTCATGAGCCACCACGCAGGTTCCCAGTCCAGCATGGATCCCCTAAGAGAGCAGCCAGTGCCCTTAACCAGAGCCATCCTTCCAACCACTGGAGTTTTGGTTTTGTTTTGTTTTTTCTGCTCTGAGCATGCTTTCTCTGTGTAGGCCTGGCTGTCCTGGAACTCACTCTGTAGACCAGGCTGATTTCAAACTCGGAGAAACGCCTGCCTCTGCCTCCTGGGTGCTGGGATTAAAGTGCACTCACTACCAGCTGTCATCCCCATCACAGGGCTGGATTCGTTGTAAACAGAGAGTTTGGGAAACTTCCTGTTTTAAACCTCATGGTTCATGGCACCATCCATGGCTGGGTATCTAGTGCCTCCTGGATTTGGACTTGTACCATGATCCTTTATTCCTTGCCCAAGAAATGACAAAGGCTGGGCTGTCTCCTCCCTCTTTGTATGTAGAGTCTGCCTGATGACTTCATGTGTCCAGGAAGGGCCAGTGGCATGGTGTCACCTTGGTGGGCTGTTCCCAGCCGTGCATCACAGCCCCCACCCCCACTCCATCTTCCAGTCTCTCTTGGGCTGGTGAGCTGACCCACACAAGGCTCATGGGAAGAATCTTGATAGTCACCAATTGTCCTCCACGAAATGACACTTGGCTCACTCTAGACCTTTGCCAAGCTGACAGGGTTGTTGTTAACCTTTTGAAGGCTTTGCAGAGCCTCAGCCATATGTAACAGAGTTGGGACTCAGACCACAACCTGTCACTCACTAGCACACCCTCCCCAGGAGGTTCTGGCTGAGCGGCAGAGTCTGGCCTGAGTATCCAGGTGACAGCCAGAGGCAGCCGGTTCCAGCCCTTGGAAGCTCTGTGTATGTGCGCAAGTGTGTGCTGTGTGCCTGTGTATGTGTGCTGTGTGTGTGTATGTCTGTGTGTATGTGTGTGCATGCTGTCTGAGTGCAGGTTCAGTGATGTCACATTAGTAGCTTAGACTTTGTCATTGAAAGAAATCAACACATGCCATCCTTCAGGACACCCTAGAGAGAACTGGCGTACCAAAACCCATGAGTCTATCACTCTGGTGGCGCAGTGGCCTTGGCCTACTTGGTGCTCTGTTCTGAACCCTGATCCACTTTTAACTTGAGTACATACGGTACCCCAAGGTGGGATGGGGTGCAGACACCGGGTGAGTCAAGGGCACGGCTGGGAGCCCCATACTCTCAGGCACCTGGACTCTGAGAGTTCAGCTCAGTCCCCGCTGGCAGCGTCTAACGATCAGGCCACCAGCTCCTTGAGCTCTCTACAAGGGAAGCACTTCAGGGCACACAGTAGGGCAAAGCCCAGCCCACAAAAAAAAAAAAATAGCCACCTTCCTACTTGGAATAGATGTCTGTCTTCTGTCAGCTGCCCCACTCACTGCTCCTGCCTGCTAGATCTTGACTTGAGTTAGGTGCTCAGGAAGGAGCAGGGTGGAGTTGGGAGTTCCTCCCCTCAGACCTCCCTTCAGACAGACGGGAGACGAGGCTGGACCTTTGCTATCAATCACACCAAGGACATGCCTTGTCTCTTGGTTCATCTTTCAGCTTGAGTATCCCTCCGTATCTCATGTTCTCATTTCTGCTGACAAGAGGGCATCCCCCAACCCCCACCTCTTTTTTTTTGTTTGTTTGTTTGTTTCTCTGTGTAGCCCTGGCTGTCCTGGAACTCACTCTGTAGACCAGGCTGGCCTCGAACTCAGAAATCTGCCTGCCTCTGCCTCCCAAGTGCTGGGATTAAAGGCGTGCGCCACCACCGCCCGGCTAATTCAGTTTTTTTAGTTCCCACCTGGTATTCCCATGTGCCCATGGCCCAGCCTGGTGGTTACTTCCATCTCCAGCCCACCTCCGCCCCCACCCCCATCCCCGCCCCCACCCCCGCCCCCACCCCCACCCCACTCGCACCCCCAGGCAGCTTTAGTGAGGCCTTTGAATGACACACCCGTGTCAGAACTCTGTTTTGTTTTGATCCGAATCAGTAGCTTGGGCTTCTGACCAAGGCTGAGAGGAGGATTTTCGACTTCCTTCCAAAGTCCCCGGGTGAGGGTGGGAGCTCTTTCCGTTTCTGCTCTCATCCATCTTCCTGTCTGTTTTAGCTAGCCATCCCTCAGTGGTGCTTTCCTTCAGATCTCAGACGCTGGAAAGGAAGTGCAGTCAGTACTGGACTATGCAATGCGCTGATGGATGGACCCAGAGGCTCAGAATCGCCTCTTTCTCCAATAAACCCCTCCACGCTTGTTTCCTGACTCACGGGCGCCACCTATAGGCTACTACAAGAATTGCTATTAGGCAAGGAAACAAGCCTGGCCTATCTCTAGGGGGCGCTCTAGGAAGCCTTTTTTTTTTAAATCAGAAATTCCCTCTGTGTCCCTGTCATTTGGACCCCAACTCATACCTTTGTTGAATGAGGTAGAGCAGAGCTCTAAAAGATCCAGGAAAGAGTGGAGAATGGGGAGGCATAAACAATGGGAGAATCCCCGAATGGAAGTCTGCAGTCCTGTGCCACTGGTGTAAACTCAGAGCTCGAGGGCTGGAGAGATGGCTCAGCGGTTAAGAGAACTGGCTGTTCTTCCAGAGGTCCTGGGTTCAATTCCTAACACACACATGGCTGGTCACAACTGTCTATGACTCTAGTTCCAGGGGATCTGATACCCTCACATACAGAATACAAGTAGGCAGAACACTAAGACACATAAAATAAAAATAAGTCAATCATAAAAAAGATAAAAGAAAGAAAGGAACTCTCAGAGCCTGGCATGGTGGCACAAGCCTGTAATCCCAGGATTTTTTGTGTGTGATTTTTTTGTTGTTGTTGTTTGTTTTGAGACATGGTTCCTCTATCGCCCTGGCTGGCCTAGAACTTGCTATTTAGGCCAGGCTGGCCTGGAACTCTCCAGAGATCCACCTGCCTCTGCCTCCTGAGTGCTGGGATTTAAGGCCTGCACTACCACATCCAGCAAATGGAATAGTTTTTAAGAGGCCCCCAGTTGGAGTAACCTGTGCATCTTGACAACCAGTCCTGGGCAAAATCACATATAGCTACTCTTGTTCCTCCCATTCCAGCCAGCAGGGACGACTCTAAAGTTACTTGGGATTTTAATTTAAATCTAATGTTAGCATATATCCACTCAGAAGGACACCCAGCTTCCCCCAAGTTTCAGTTTGCCGACCTGTGTAATGAAACTAATAAACACACTACCCTCCAGGTTTGAGGCTGGTCCTAATTGGCTTCCAAAGCTGTAGGGAGCCAGCAGGTCTGGGTCAGAGTCCTGCCTCTGCTCCACAGCAGTGGTGGCTTCGGGCAAGCATGTTTCCTCCTGAGCTGTGCTCTCCTCATCTCATCTGCGAGATGGCAGGAGTGTGGCTGCATTTGCCTTGCTCAACATGGTTGGGGGGGAGGACCATTCTTTTGACCAGAAACATGTCTAAAGGACATGCACACTCACAAGCGCTCCCGTGTGTACATGAGTGAACACACACACACACACACACACACACACGAGAGAGAGAGAGAGACAGAGAGAAAGAGAGAGAGAGATTTTGAGGTTGTTTTCAAGAGTTATTCATTTATTTTATGTATATGAGTACACTGTCGCTGTCTTCAGACACACCAGAAGAGGGCATCTGATCCCATTACAGATGGTCGTGAGTCACCTTGTGGTTGCTGGGAATTGAACTCACGACCTCTGGAAGAGCAGTCAGTGCTCTTAACTGATGAGCTATCTCTTCAGCCCCTTTGAGGGGATTAGAAGAAAAAGACTTTATTGATGCGAATGGGTACCTGTGTATATGTCTGTGCCCCGTGTGCATGGAGTGCCTGCGGAGTCCAGGGGAGGCTGTGGGGCCCTGGAACCAGTGTTAACAGTGTTAAGCTGCCGTGTGGGTGCTAGAAACGGTTCTCCAGTTCTCTGCAAGAGCAGTGAGTGTTCTCCATGGCCATCTCTCCAGCCCTCCAGGGATTTTGAGACAAGGTTTTATACCATAGCTCAAGCTGATTAGAACTCACTATATAGCCCAGGCTGGTCTTGAACTTGATCCTCCTGTCTCATGTCCCTGAATTCTGGGGTTGTACCCATGCACCACACCCCTCTTAATCTAAAACTAGGTGTCTAACTGCACAGACACACTTTGTTCTAAAAGACTAAAGCATTGATTCTTTGCCAACCACCCATCTTTTCTGAGATCTCCCATGGCAGCACACTCACTGGGGAGGATGCCCCTTTCTCTCCTCTTACCCCAGGGGCCCGGCTTCTGTTCAGTCATGCCCTCTGATGTCACTCGTAGGCGGGAGACCTTTGACTTTGATGACGACTGTGACAGCCTGACATGGGAAGAGAATGAAGACACACTGCTGCTATGGGAGGACTTTACCAACTGTAACCCAACCATTGACCTGCAGGGCGAGGTGAGCCCAAGCCCTGCCTTCTCCAGGAGTGCCTCTCTCACAGGATCCCTCATGCCTTCCCACACAGCCTCTGATCCCCAGCTAAACTATCCCTCCTGTCTCCCCAGCAAGAAGAAAACTTGGGCAACTTGATCCATGAGACTGAATCCTTCTTCAAGACGAGAGACAAGGAGTACCAGGAGACGATTGGCCAGATCGAGGTAAGCACTCAAGCCAAGGAGGCCGCTGCGGAGTCTCCCAGGGCCCGCATAGATCCTGGGCGCTCATGGAAACGCAGGCTTGCAAAATGGGGGCAAGTCAGGGCCAGGAGTCAGAAGTCTGGCATTGCAAACTTGTTCTTATTAGGGTATTGGTTTCCTAATCTGTAAAGTCAGGCAGTGATTCCTGCCTTCCCTAAAGAGGCTGAGGCAGGAGAGTGCCAATGACAGGTCTACCTGATGCCTAGCATCGTTTGGCATCCCTCAGAAGTCAGCCGTGGTCATCCTTACTTCCTCCTCTGCTATAGGGACCAGATACCCATACAGAAAAGGAAGTCATGTTCAAAGAGGCCAGGCCGCTTGCCCACAGTTTCCCCGTCAGGAGGCAACATTCATGCCAGTGTGCTTGCCCACTGCTATACAAGAGTGAGTGCTCCTCCTGTCTGAGAAGTCCAGAGTCCTCCCTCCTCCCTCCAGGTGTCACAGTACAGGCTCAGAGACATGAACAGTTTCCTTTTCCAGTCCCGTAGCAAGTTCCCCAGAGATGCTGAGTACACGGAAGTCTCCGGAATCAGATAGGGCTTAGCTGGACAGACCTCTCTGGGGTTGCTAAGTAACCATTCCCCCTTTGACCAGAAGCACGTTTAAAGAATATTGACTGGTGTGCAGAGAATAAGGAAGGTTGAGACCACAAGGCGGGGGCTGGATGGCGCCGCCATCAAGGGATAGAGGAGGGCGGTTGCTGCGGGCAGTAACCTGAGGTGGAAGGTCCCCCTCGTCACCTTTATTCGTCATTGATTCGTTCCAGCTGGAGCTGGCCACAGCCAAGAGCGACATGAACCGGCACCTGCATGAGTATATGGAGATGTGCAGCATGAAGCGAGGCCTGGATGTGCAAATGGAGACCTGCCGCCGGCTCATCAAAGGCTCTGCAGACAGGTGCGGCTGTGCGCATGCGCGTGCGCCTGGGGCTTCCACGGTGGATGGGGGCTTAACAGAGACATTCCGGGGCTGCCGCGTGCAGCTTCATTTTTCTGACCCTCTATATTCCCACACATCCGTCCACCCACCCCTCCAAGCCCCCAGCATGAGCATACCTACTATGTGCTAGGTGACTAGTGTGCCTAATCTCACAGAGCTTCTGAAAACACAAAACAAAACAATACCACCGCCACTGATCGGTTCAACAGAGAGTTGTCAAAAGCCCGCTGTGTGCAAGACCGTCTGAGTTAGTGTTCTATTGCTGTGATGAACACTATGGCCGAAACCAAGATGGGGAGGAAAGGGTTTACTTGGCTTACACCGTGGTCCGTTGTTGAGGGAAGTCAGGGAAGGAACCTGGAACCAGGAGATAGTGCAGGGGCCATGCAGGACTGCTGTTTACTGGTTTGCTTCCCGTGGCTCGCACAGCCTGCTTTTGTATACCATCCAGAACCACCCGTCCAGGGGTGGCATCGCCTGCAGTGGGCCGAGGTCTCTCTCACGTCAGTCATTAAGACTACAGGCCAGTCTGATGGAGGCGATTTCTTAACTGAGGTTCCTTCTTCCCAGTTACCTGGGATTTTTAGTGGGCACCACTTTGTGCTCAGACCAGGGATGATGGAAGGTTACAGAATGAAGACATCCTTCCCCCTACACACACACTCTCTCTCTCAAAGAGAAGCCATATACTACAGTTAGCAGTGGCCAGGGCAGAGGTCCCAAGGAACGCCAAGGGCTGTAGGTAGCTCACGGAACCCACAGGGCCTGGGAGAGAGGGTCCCTTTGCCAGGATCTTACGGCAGGAGCCCCTCAGGGTAGATCCCACTAGGTTCTTGCTTTGTTGTTGCCGAGAGTGGGACCCAGAGCCTTGTGCATACTTAGACAAATGTTTTGCTCACCCCAGACCCTTAGGGTAGGTTTTTAACAGGCGTGACCGCCCAGAGCTCCTGGCCCAGGGCTGTTAGGGCCCTCAGGCTGCTCTCTGAAAGTCTCTGGTTTCTTCCACCCTATGCAGGAATTCACCATCCCCCAGCTCCGTGGCCAGCAGTGACTCAGGAAGTACAGACGAGATCCAGGACGACCTGGAGCGGGAGGCCGATGTGGAACCCATGGTCAGCTGATGACCGAGGCCCGACGCTCCTGGTGGTCTTGGTGACGGGAGCCCAGCCTCTTCTCCCCACTGAGCCACGAGGGCTCCTCGACTTGGGCTCCAGTCCTCGACACACAGACTTCTGTCCTCCCTTTTCCGGAGGCCCAGCGGGACCGCTGCTTCCTTCCTTCCTCCACCACCCACCCAAGGAATGGTGCTGTCGATTTTTCTATTGTCCCCTCCCCCCAATACCACAAACGCAGACTTCTGTGCGTCGATGCAGTGCAACTGTGCCTTCTCCCTTAAGCTGAGCCACTTTGAGCTCCAAAGAATTCTTCCTAGCAGGTGTTTTTTATACAAAACTCTAAGGTGAGGGTGGGGCCTGGGGCGTGGTTTCTTTTGGTTTTCTCCCTCCCACCTGCTCCTCTGATTGGACATGAGCTTTGCTCCCTCCCTCTGTCCCAAGATGACTTGCGGGGGATCTGCCTTCCCGAGGAAGGAGACTACCTCCAGATCTGAGTGAGGAGACGTCCTTGATACGTTCTCGTCCAGTAATAGAGCGGTGGATGGAAGGGGAGGGAGGGAAGACCAATTTTTTCCCCCTTCTTTTGGATCTAGTGGCGATGTGTCGGGGAAAGGCACTGTGGGGGAAGGAAGAGCCTCACTGTGTTTAAACTATGCAAAAAACAAACAAACAAAAAAACAAACAAAAAACTAAAAGCAGCTTGCCTTATATCATTGGGGAAGGCAGGCCCTCTCTCAGACTTCTGGGAACTGGGAGGGAGGCCAAGGTTAGCATGAGACCCTCATAGCCTCTGAGGGTGAGCGGTGGATTTGGGGGTGATCCGAGTCAGATCGCTAGCGAGGCCTGCTTGCATTCTGCAAGTTGGCCCACTGGACTGTTGGCTTTCTTGGGGACCTCTGTGGGGTGGGGTGGGAGGGGTGGTGGTCTTTTATTCTCCTGATGACTTGATGTTCTTTCCCGCCTCTCCGATCACCTGCCAGGTTCCACGGTTGTAATTTCTCTGTGAGAAAGTGTGAACGGGCCAGGCCTGGTACCTACTCTGACCTCCACGGCACCGTCTTGGTCCCCTTGTCCCTCTGGCTGGGGAAAGAAAAGCCTTGTGAGGGAAGGGGGGCAGGTGGCGAGGCTGCTGGCAGGCTGGAGGAGAGAAACCTCAAGTGAGGTCCGTCCTCATTCCTATGTGCTTTCCACACCCATCTGGCTGGACGCTGAGCCAGTGATTTCCCAAGGCTCCACGGGGCCTGAGTTAAGGGGCCATAAGATAGAGCATCCGTCTAGTCTCAGCCGACGACTCGCCTAGCAACGATAGGTTTTGGTTTTCTTTCCTTATTTTTGTGTCCACTCTAGTGGTTTTGATGTCCTGTGTTGTTTTTATTGACCCAGCGGCTCCCCCTGGAGGTCAAAGGGACAAAATGTCCCCAGGGATCAGAACCCATGGCCCTCTGAGGCCTGTGTGGTAAAAGGCAGAGAACTCTGGAGCCGGTAGTGGTACCTGATCCTCCTCTGCATCCTTCTGTTTCTCTCTGAGTGGTTCCATCATCTGTTTTGCATTTAGAACCAGTGTATATAGTAGGCTTATGTATGGACAGAGAGGAGAGAGAATGTGTTTGTTGGTGACTAATTTATCAGAATTTGGTGGCCTTTCTCAAGTCTGTTTTCCATGGTGCGGGAAGGGGTTTTCCATTGGTCCCTGTGCAGGACCAGTGTGTCCCTGTCTGCAAGAATTCATGTATCATCTCTTGATGGGCAAATAGTCCCTTCTGGCAGGTACTTGGAGGGACAATGGTTTGTGAAGAGACATAGCCCCTGTCCTCACCATCCTCCTCCCCTTTCTCACCAACTCTTCTTTTAAAGGTTACAGGGTTCACACGCTTCTGAATATTATTATTGTGTATTATTGATATTATTGTTTTTTTTTTATTTTAACCAAAGGGTATCCGAGTCAGATGGGCCCGGACCTTAGCTGCTGTAAAGATTTCCGTTTCTATGAGGGCAGAAAGGTGGTTGCCTTTATGGGTTTCCTCAGCTGAGGCTGGGGAAGGTGTCCATCCAGTGGTAAAGCGGTAGGTAGAACCTGGGAGGCGGGCTGGCAGAATAGAAGCCGGCCCTGAATCGTTCTTCAAGGTGGTGGTGGGCTGACACATATCTCTAGAGTTAAGACAGTAAGCAACAGTATAAACATTCAGGGTGATGGATGTTACTGTGTAAGTCGCTGTTCTGTTATTTTACTTTCCCAACTGTATACATAGGTCGTTTGCCTGGTGTGTATGAGAAAGGCAGGCTCCTGTGGGCTCCCTCCTGCCGACTTTCAAAGTCTGCTTTCCCCTGGGGGGGTGAGGCTCTGAGGCAGGAGGATGAGTGGAGAGGAGCAAAGGTGTGGTAGACATGTGTCCTGGCTAGGTCTGGGCTCTGGGCCTGGCCTCCTCTTTGTGTTTGTTTGGTTGGTTTGTTCGTTTCTTAGTTTGTTGCCAGTGGGTCCTCTTTGTGCCCTCATTGTGAGCCCACAGCTTGCCCAGAAAGACCCCACCACTCACTGGGGGAGCACCTGCCCAGTGTGGACGAACTTGTCCGTCCTTGTAATAAACATGTACATACTTCCTCTTGACTTTTCTATTTCTGAGCCCAGTGTCATATTGACACTGGTGGCTCAGGGCTTCTCAGATGGGCTCCCTGTATTGCCCCTGGTCATGCTCCTAGTTTGGGGGTCACATACAGAGGCAGAGCCGGGAGACGGCATCCGTTCAGGTCCCTGGTTGGTCATGAAACACACACACATACACTCACACACATGCACACACACACACACTCTACTAAGACTCCAAAGGAGATAGGGAAGAGGTACGACTCTCCGTGGCAGTATGTATGGAAGGCGTGTCCACTTTGGACTCTGTTCTGGGGGTAGAACTCAGATGTCCTATGGAGAGTCAAACCACTTTGACTTTAGGGCGGGAGGAGAGGGGATGGGCTAAGGGATAACATAGGGTGTAACTTAAGCTAAATGTGTTCTATTTATAAACCAAGAGACTGTATTTTTATGAAAGGAAAAGGTTTTTAATCTAGGGTAGGTAGTCATGGTGGCCCAGCATTTGGCTGTGGATGAGATGCCACCATGTTCATTGACTCCGGTGTGCAATCAGTCATCAGTGATCTCTCTCCTGGGCTCACCTTCCACCATCACTGAACGTCCGCACACAGCTGGGGTGGGAGTGTGGTGTCCTTCCTCCCCATCCCTCAGCTCCTTAGAAGTCTTGGAAGGGAAGTGGGGTGGGGAGGGCGGGTGGACTGCAGAAAAGTGAGGTGGGGGAGAGGTGCTTCAGAGGTAGGTTCTAATTAGTCACCTCATCTCCCTTCTGGCAAGACCTGCTCCCATTCAGCTATGTGGGGAGAGTAGGAGGGAAGTTGTGGGGTTGGGGAACACAGGACTTCTTAGGAGCTTAGGGACTTACTATGCCTGAAGTTGTCAGGCAGCTGGAGCAGGCACAGAAGGGACCCAGGATACTCAGAGCTCAGCCCTGTCTGTGTGTACTCCAGGCCAAGGTCGAGCTTGGTTTTGGACGAAGGACCAGGACACTGGAGGGTTTCCTCAGACCTGGGTCCTCCCTCTGGGACTGACCTAGTGGGAGGAGTGGGGAGAGGTCTGGGCAAAGCCATCCACTCTCTCTGGGAGGGGATTTCCAGGCTCAGTGTGGGCTGTGTGAGTCTCAGGCAAACTCCTCACCTTTCCAGTTCCTTCCCAAGCTCTCAAAGAGATGTGGTGAATTCCCCACCGTGACATGACCCCTTTCCGCACACCATAGCATCTACCTGGTTTTTAGTCCCACCCTATCCACCATTGCTGTGTCTGTCAGCTGGGTCTGAAAATCACCGGGAGGGGTTTGTACTCATAAAAGACTACTGACCCTACCAGAAACCCAACCTGTTTACTGTACTGTTGTAAATACTGTGCCCTTTATATCCTGTATATTGGCTTCTTTGGAATAAAGTAAAATGTCTTCGAACATATGCTGTACGCACGCTTCTTTGTGTCCTGGTGCTTGTGGGAGGGATAAGAAGACTAAAGCAAACTTATTAACCAATCAGTGATAAGATAGGGAACCTACCGATTTGCATCTCACAGTAAGATCTTCCAGGTGACTCACACCTTTAATCCTAGCACCCGGAAGGCAGAGCTCTGTAAGTTCAAGGACAGCTTGGTCTACAAAGTGAGTCCCAGGACAGCTAGAAACCCTGTCTTGAGAAACTAAGTAACAACAAAAAAACAAACAAAAAACCTCTCAGAAGGAAATAAGGCATGAGGGATTCGACAGAAGAGGTCCAGTGAGAGCCCAGGCTAACTGGCACTGCCTGGTCTGAAGATGAGGTCACGCCAGCTCCAAAGCCTCCGTTCACAGACCTCTTCAGAATGTCTACAAGAAGCACCTGCTGAATTTCATACTGTTAGAGTTACTCTTAGCAAAGGGCCACATTCCAAGATGCCGTCCCTCCACTGTGAACTGCCTTTTCCAAGGCTGGAGAGAAACCACCACTTGGTCAGATTTATGTAGCACCCCTTTCCTAGTCAGATCTCCCAGAGTGTCTTAAATGGCGTAATCGGCAGGAAACGGAGAAGACCAGGGTGACGGGTGTTCAAGGCGGATATTATCGTCCTGTTTTACAGAAGAGGAAACTAAGGTCCATAGAGCCCGATTGGATAGTTCTATGTCAGCTTGACATAAGCTGGTGGCATCTGAAAGGAGGGAATCAAAAATTGAGACAATGCCTGACAAGATGAGGCTGTGGGCAAGCCTGTAGGGCATTTCCTGTTCTTCCTTTTTCTATTGTATTTATTATTGTTACTAGTGTTGTTATTATTAGTATTATTGTCATTGTTTTAGTTTATTCGAGACAAGTCTTCTCTGAATAGACTGGAACTTACTCTGTAGACCAGGCTAGCCTCAAACTCAGAGATCTGCCTGCATCTACCTCCCAAGTACTGGATGTAAAGGCGTGTGCCATCACTGCCCGGCTACGTGGGCATTTTCTTAATTAGTGATTGATGTGGGAGGGCCCAGGCCATTCTAGGTGGTCCAACCCCTGGACTGGCAGTCCACCAGCAAGGCTGAGCAAGCCAGTAAGCAGCATCCCTCCATGGCTTCTGCATCAGCCTCTGCCTGCAGGTTCCTGCCTCAGTGATGAGCTGAGAGTTTGCACATGTAAACCCTTCACTCCCCACATGCTTTTTGGTCATGGTGTTTTGAGGAGAATTTGCCCAGCGTGGTATCAAACTAGAATGGACAGAAGGGGCCCCAAAGTAAAGGCCTTGGTTACATTGTCAGAGACAGAAACACACTGAAGTGAGGCTGTGGTGGCGCAGGCCTTTAATTCCAGCACTCTGGAGGTAGATGGGCCGGTAGATCTTTGTATATTCAAGACGGGCCTGGTCTATAGAGCGAGTTCCAGGACAGCCAAGGCTACACAGAGAAAATCTCTCTGGAAAAGTAAAACCAAACCAACACCCCCCCCCAAAAAAAAATTATAATAATAAAACCCAAAAAGAGCCGTCAGTGATGGCACGAGCCTTTAATCCCAGCACTTGGGAGGCAGAGGCAGTCGGATTTCTGAGTTCCAGGCCAGCCTGGTCTACAGAGTGAGTTCCAGGACAGCCAGGGCTACAAAGAGAAACCCTGTCTCGAAAAACAAAACAAAACAAAACAAACAAAACAAAACAAAACAAAACAAAACAAAAAAACCCAAACAGAATAAAGTAAGAAACCTCACACCAGCATCTGAGGACTACAGCGGTTTCCTCAGGCATCATCCTAAGAGAGGCTTCAGAAGCTGTTTTAATAGGTTCGACTATTCATCAAACAACATCTCATGCAGACAACTGAAAACTTTATCTAGGGGTAGAAGAACAGAGGGACAGAGACAGGAACAACTGGTTTTTGTGGCTAGAGGCTTTTAAGAAAAGGAAGAAAGAAAATTAAAACGGAGAGCGCTAAGTTCAGGCCCGCTAGGGTTTTATCTCGTACTGATTCCAATCTGGAAGGAAGCAGGCCCAGGCAGCTGGCTTGGCCCTGAGCCAGACTGGGAGGCAGAGGGCAGATCAGGCTCCATCCAGGGTGGCAGCCCCCGGGGTGGCGGCGGGGATCTGGCCTTTGTGTGGCCCTGCGGCCCGGGGGGAGTGGAGACCCGCAGATGCCAGCCTTCCAGCCGCCAAGGGCCGGGGACCCAGGCAGCACCTGTCGCGTCGACCTGGTCCCCCGGCCCGGTCTACCATTGAGGACGTGCTCCGTGCAGGATCTGTCATTGGCTCGCGCAACTCTCCAGCCTGCCTAAGAAGGCTGCAACTTGCCTGTCCTGCAGATTGTCCCGGAGGCTTTCATGCTTGACTCTGATTGGTCAGTGAGGCTCACGCCTCTCTCCTTGGGTCATACCATAAGGAGAGGAGGCAAGGAGACAAGGAGAAGATAGCATCATTTCGGGGCTTTTCTGCCGCGTTCTTTTGACCCGAAGTCCACGGTAGCCTTTTTAATGCTAGTAAAGCTGATATTTATTGACAGGAGGGGGGGTACACGCACAGGGACCCCGAAGCAAGTGGACCGGGCGATACTGCTCCTCCCTCAGAGGTGGTGCACTCCGGGCTTGCCTAGTCCAGCCTTGCAGGGCTGACTCCGATCTTCCCACAGCCGCGCCAGACTCTTAGATTCTCCGTGATGGTGCTGCTGCCGTCCCTGCGCCGATCCTTGCGGTCCCACGCCTGGAGGAGTGCTGGGTGAGTGAACCCTCTGCTGCCGGAGCCCTGAGAGCCGTGGGCAAATCCCATTCTGCTGCAACCACCCTCTCTAGGGTCCCCATGGCTCCCCTAAGCGTGGGGTCGCGTCCTGAAGAGCCACTTTCCCATGGAAACCCTGTGGCTCCCTACCGGGTCTCTCTAGAGCAGTGATTCACAACCTTTCTAATGATGCGACCCTTTAATACAGTTTCTCATGGTATGGTGACCTCCCAACCGTAAAATTATGCCACTTCATAACCGTGTTTTACTACTGTTATGAATCGTAATGTAAATATTTAATATGCAGAATAGCTGATATACGACTCCTGTGAAAGGGTCGCTCGGGGTGGCGACCTACAGGTTGAGACCCACTGTCCTAGATGGTCAGTTTTCCTTAGCCAAGAAACCCCTGGGTAGGGTGTGGCGCCCAGACTTGTGGCCACGCCCCCTTCCTTCACTCCTCTTCCTCCTAAGGCTGGATAGTCCAAATGTGCTGATTCTCCCAGTTCCTGGACGTTCCTGTGTTCACGCTCCGGAGCCTCCCGACACTCCCAGGGACCTCTCTATTCCCACACTCTTTCTGTTCAATATTGGGCTTTTCTTTTACGGCGGGTGCCATAATGACTTTTATAACTTGTGAGGCAGCTCTGCGTGGCATGGGACTTATTTTGAGATTTATGTAAGTTCATTCAGACAAATTCCTTAATAAAGCACCCCAGAGGCAGAGGCAGACAGATCACTGAGTTCAAGGCCAGCTTGGTCTACAGAGCAAGTTCTAGGAGGGTCCGGCGAGAAACTCTGACTCAAAAACAAACAAACAAACAAACAAACAAACACAAATGTTTTTTAGCACCTGGAAGGCAAGAGGCAGGCTGTGCTCTGAGGGTTCAAGGCCAGGCCAGCTTGGTCTGTGTAGTGAGTGCAAGACTGGCCAGGGTTACATGAGAGACTCTGTCTCCAAAGAAGTGTCTGGTTTCCACTGTATGGACTGCCACTTTGGTTCAGACATCTCTCTGAGGTGTAGACACAGTCCTTATAAGTAATGAAGAAACTAGCCAGCTCTGAGGCAGAGAGCTGCTTGCTGTTCAGCCAGAACCCTGGTCCCCTCAGTGATGTGTTCCAATATCCTGCCCCAGTGGGACTCACAGCCTGTTTGGTGTGGGTATTATTCCCCGTTTCTTTCTTCCTTCCTTCCTTCCTTCCTTCCTTCCTTCCTTCCTTCCTTCCTTTCTTTCTTTCTTTCTTTCTTTCTTTTCTTTCTTTTGTTTTTTTTTTGGTTTTTCGAGACAGGGTTTCTCTGTATAGCCCTGGCTGTCCTGGAACTCACTCTGTAGACCAGGCTGGCCTTGAACTCAGAAATCCACCTGCCTCTGCCTCCCAAGTGCTGGGATTAAAGGCGTGCGCCACCACTGCCCGGCTATTCCCGTTTCTGTTTACCTTCCTTGTACAGTTTACACAGCCCCCTGCACCCCTACTTTGGTTACTATTTGCCTGCTCTGTGGCCTGTGACCCACCGTGTCTACCTCCACTATGACCTTTTTGGTTAATCAGTGACCCTTTCCCTGCCCCCATGGGATGGCATGGGTGAGTTTCAACCCTTCCACGTGTTGTGCGAAGCTCTTAGGATTGGAGAGAGGACCGGGGGATGGGAGGAGTGTGCTCCTCTTGCAGACTGAGCCTGCAGCTCTTCAGTTTCTTCCTGCTCTGAGACCACCCACTGCAGACCCCGGATGGAGGGCTCAGATAGGCAGAGCCTTCTAATGGATTCTCAAGTTTACCTTGTTCCTCTCTGGGTGTCAGTGTGCTACAGGGTGTACTGCAGTCAAGGGGATCTGGGTAGGGGTGGAGTATGATCAGTGAGTGGAACTCTGGGCTCCAGGGAGTTTTCAGCTTAACTGGAGAGAAAGGCGTAGACCCAAGCACCCCGTCTTCTCTTGTGGAAAGCAGTCCGTGTTATGAAATAGTTTGGAATAGCAAGATCATGTAGCTAGCTAATGAGTAGAGGGACCTCACGCTGAGCCTAGGATCTTGTTCTGGGCAGCCTCTGCCCGTTGAGGTAGATGTAACTGCAGTTACAGTTGGTCTGGATCCAGATCCCCGCCCCTCAGTGTGTGGCCCCCTGAACTGGTGAGAAGAAGATTTTGCAAGCAGTTCTCTGGGCTTTGGCTAGCTGGTTTTTGTACGGCTGACCTGGCAGGGAGCCCAGAGAGGTTTCTCAACATCAGTGGCATTCAGCAGTGTTCGTTCATCTTTGGGGCAGGTCTGCAAGATGCTTAGGAGAGCTTCCAGCCTGTGCCTCTGGTCCCCGTGGCTTCTTCAGTCACGACTCACAGTATCTCCAGATAGATGTCTTCTCCTCACTGGCTGAGAGACAACCCTAGGGCTGCTGGGGTTATTTGGTCCCTCGTTCTTTTTAAGGCTTATTTATTTATTTTTAGAAAAAGGGTTTCTCTATTCAGCCCTGGCTGTCCTGGCCTCATCTCCCTGCCTCTGGGATTAAAGATATGCGCCATCTTCACAGACCCTGTTTAGTTTTTCTTTTTCAAGACAGGGTTTCCCTGTGTAGCCTGGGCTGTCCTGGAGCTTCTTTCACAGACCAGGCTGGCCTTGAACTCACAGATCCACCTGCCTCTGCCTCCCAAGCACTAGGACTAAAGGCGTGTGCCACCAAACCTGGCTTCATCTTGTATGTTCTTTTTTTTTGGTTTTTCGAGACAGGGTTTCTCTGTGTAGCCCTGGCTGTCCTGGAACTCACTCTGTAGACCAGGCTGGCCTCGAACTCAGAAATCTGCCTGCCTTTGCCTCCCTAGTGCTGGGATTAAAGGCGTGTGCCACCACTGCCCGGCTAATTTTAGTTTCAATAATGAAGGTAATTTGGCATTTCACCAACTGTGAATTCTGAACTCCCCACAAGTTATGCTTTACTGGCTCTGTCAGCCTGGGCAACCTGGGACGGACCGACCCCCGATGGCATGGCTTCCCAGCTCCCTAGGGAAGATGACTTGACAAGAATTGGTGTGTCTGAGTTATATTTGAAATACAGACTTGCACAACATTTTGTGAATCTCTTGATTTCCGTAACTGAGCGTGTGAATGGTGTATGTGGGCATGTGTGCACACAGCTGGCATTCCCACGAGTGTAGGTGTGTGTGTGTGTGTATGTGTGTATGTGTGCGCCACAGCACACGTGGAGGTCAGAGATAGACAACCTTGGGTACGGGTCATCTCCTTCCACCTTGTTTGTGACACAATTTCGTATATATTTTTGTTGTTAGCTACCAGGGAGGCCAGGTCAGCTGGTCAGTACATTTCCTGCTGGGTTTGTTCGTGTGTGCTGTTGTACCCAGCTTTATGTAGGCTCTGGGGATTCAAACTTGGGTCTTCCTGCTTGTATGCCAAGCACTTTTTCACTGAGCTGTCTCCCTGACTCTCAGAAATATTCAATTAAAAAGTTGGCTTTTAGGCCGGAGAGATGGCTCGGGTGTTAAGAGCTCTTGCTTGCAGCTCTTCTGGGAGACCTAAGTTCAGTTCCCAGCACTGATGTTGGATAACTCAGACCTCCTGCTCCAGAGGGTCAGTAAGCTCTTCTGATCTCTGCAGGCATTGTACCCATGTGTGCAAACTATACACCACACACACACACACACACACAGAGAGAGAGAGAGAGAGAGAGAGAGAGAGAGAGAGAGAGAGAGAGAGAGAGAGAGAGAGAGAGAGAGAGAGAGAGGCTCAAACACATACACATATACACACATGCGGGCCGGGCAGTGGTGGCACACGCCTTTAATCCCAGCACTAGGGAGGCAGAGGCAGGCAGATTTCTGAGTTCGAGACCAGCCTGGTCTACAGAGTGAGTTCCAGGACAGCCAGAACTATACAGAGAAACCCTGTTTCAAAAAACAAAAAACACATATACACATGTACATAGACCACACATAATTTTTTTTTTTTTTTTTGGTTTTTTGAGACAGGGTTTCTCTCTGTAGCCTAGGCTGGCCTTGAACTCAGAAATCTGCCTGCCTCTGCCTCTCAAGTGCTGGGATTAAAGGCGTGCGCCACCACTGCCCAGCATAGACCACACATAATTAAAAATAAGCTTTTTTTTTAAATTGATTTTGTTGGATAGAGGTGGCACAAGCCTTTAATCCCAGCACTCAGAAGGCAGAAGTGGAAGGATCTCTATGAGTTCAAAGCCAGCCTGATCTACAGAATGAGTTCTAGGACATCCAGAGTTACATAATGAGGCCCTATCTCAAAAAAACATAAATAAATAAATAAATAAATAAATAAATAATTGTTTTGTGCATTGAGAATACAGCCCAGTGGTTGAGCATTTGTCTGGCAGCAAAACAACCCACACCTGACTTCATATAAACTATACATGGAATATATCTGCATTTTCTCTCTTGACTGGGGTGCCATGCCCAAGGTTATGTGAATGCAATATTTTAAAATCTGAAAAGATATGAAATCCAAAAAGACCCACGCTTTTAGGTCTCAAGCTTGTAGGTAAAAGCTGCGTAAGCTGAAGTTTCCTCTTCATGGGCTGTCATACCTTACTGAATGTCCCCAGGACGTGGAGCTGTGACTGACACCTGCTAACTCTGTGCAAACTGAGTAAATGAGTGTGAACTTGCCAGCAAGCCCTTCCTTGCTAGGAGACATTTTATCATCGAATTACCTTTTAGTGGGGACTGGAGAGATGGCTCAGCAGTTAAGAGCACCGACTGCTCTTCCAGAGGTCCTGGGTTCAATTCCTAGCAACCACATGGTGGCTCACAACCATCTGTAATCGGATCTAGTGCCCTCTTCTGGTGTGTCTGAAGACAGTGACAGTGCACTCATACACTTTAAATAAATCTTCTTCTTCTTCTTCTTTTTTTTTTTTTTTTT